AGAGATGAAAGACATAGAGAGAGAACAACTTAAAATCAATAATCAAAATAAACAATTGCATTAACTCAATCTAACCTCAGAATCCATAATGGAATTACAACAGAATAGCCCTAGATGCTTAGTTCTCCATGAATGGAGTTGAATACAAGATGAAAGAAAAGTGAGAGGAGTATGAGAGAATGAATATATTCAGTGAAGTCACTTTTTCTGCCTCCCTTGGGTCTCTTTATATAGGCTTGATTGGGCTTCGACTCTGTATAGTTTGTTGATAAGATATTTTCTGTTGATATATTATATCTTTCAAATATTCATTAGATTAAATCATTTTTAAAGAATATTTGATAGATATTAACTCAATTATCTTATATCCTATATCTTCCAAATAACTAAAAGATTTAGATAATGATAAAATTATTTGGAAGATATTTTCTGTTGATATTCACAAATTAAATTCAACAAATAAATTTTATCTTTTAGATTTTATGACTTTTCAAAATTGCACAAATACCCTGAAATTTCCCCTATTTGCACTTTAGCCCCTTCATAATTCTCCAAAATTGCATCAAAACCCCTGTTTGACTAACTTTTACCAGCTTTAACTGAGGAAAGGTGCGACCAATGAGAGCTTGCCACATGGCAACCCTCTTTCTCACCCAATTAGGATTTCAAATAAAATCTTATTTTGGCCTTAATTTGCAATTTTGACCAATAAAGTTTCAATTTCAACTGCACAAATAAATATTAGAGCATCCAAAAATAATTTATGCAATTACAAATCACTTTTTAAGTCTCTTTTTATTCTCAAACCCAAAAATTTTAATCATCACAAATCCTCTTTAAATCAATCGTTCAAACATATGAATTTTATCAAAAATTTAATTTTAAAGCATAAATATGAACATATGCCCTCATCAATTTTCAAACGACAAAGGGTTTTTAAAGTGAATAATGACAAAGGGTGTTCGAACGGCACAATAAAGTTCTTTTTGAAGGCGCAAGAGGAGTTTTTTTGGGGGTTAGGGTTTTCATCTTAAAATACCAAACACAGTCAAAGATTCTCTGAAATGTACTTACAGATTTTCAGAAGGTTATTAAAGTAAATTTGGGGTACCGATGAGATTATGGAGGTGCAGGGGAAGAGCTCTTAAACACATTGACTTATTTCTGGTCCAATCTGAGTTTCAATTAATTGCAGCAGTTGGCATCCCTCGTTAAATAGGGCTTCTGCTCTTGCTTTCTCTCAGAGCCGCTGTTTTAAACCGCTGTTTTAAATAAGCATTAAAACATGGAACGTTTTCACTCTCTTAGTACTCTGTCTTCTGCAATTGAAATGGCTTCATCACCAGAGACAGAGCATCCCAACAAGGCATTTGGATGGGCAGCCAGGGACATTTCTGGTATTCTCTCCCCTTTCAACTTCTCCAGAAGGTATGCACCGTCTACCATTCTTTATTTCAATCTTTTCAAATTACTTTTATTCTTTCAAGGATAATTCATCATGGGACAAACTGTGAATTATTGACTTAAAATATGTTTTTCTCTGTCTCTAACATCTAGATCTCAACATGTTTTAATGAATTTTTTATTTTTATAATTTTTAATTTGTTTATTGTTATAACTACTCATTGGGAGCAACAATAATAGAAAGTGCTGATAACAATCATAAAAAAAATATCAATAGTTTTGATAGAAAAACCATTTCAATATATAATATAAGTTAAATTTGATAATAGAAAAAATATTTAATAATTTTTTATTTCTTGAGTGCGAAAATAAATAAGCATCTTGAGCGATAATTTAATTTTAAAATTGAGTTTTTTGAAGAAATGTTGAGATGTATAATTTTTGCAGGGCAACAGGAGAGAAAGATGTTGCAATTAAAGTAATGTACTGTGGAATATGTCACTCAGACTTACATATGTTAAAGAATGAGTGGAACTGTTCAATCTATCCTATTGTTCCTGGGTACGTATATGTGCTTTTTTTATTTTTCCTTTTGCTTTCTTTTATTATTCCTAGATATTTGTAGGGATTAATTTTAGATCATTTGTGAAAATTATGTGTATTGGGTTAGAGTGATTTGTCATTATTTGTAAGATTTTTTTTAAAGAGTGTATAAAGTCTGAATCCAGAAGAAAATAATGAATTTTTAGGAATTTTGTGTTAAAATATTAATTTATTATTAATATTTAACCTTTTTTAAATAACTCTATTTGTATGACCCTTTTTACTTTTTTGATGATTATTATTTGAAATCCATAAATAATATTTTTAAGAAATAATTTATTTTCATTTTTGAATTAAAATAAAATGAATAGATTTAATTGAAAGTTTATAATAAATATGACTAATGTAACTTAATTATAAATCTTATTTTCTTTTTAATAATATTATATTAATTATTTATTTTATTATAATAAATAAAAAGGTAAATATTATTAAAAATTTAAAAATATAATCCATTATAGTGAATATATAACTAATTATAGTGAATATTACAAAAAATATTTATATTCATTTTTGTAACGCATGGAGGTAACATATGTTTTCACAGTATATATAAAAAAAGAGTGACAAAAATAACATGATAGTTTAGAAACAAAAATATATTTAACCTACAAATATTTATTATTTCTTTTCTCAATGTCTAAATTTCTTTTAATATAATATATATTTATTAACATACAAAAATACACAAACAAACACCAACTTACGCGGCCACAAGTTTATTCAATTAAAAAGGTAACAGTCTGAAATTGTTTTGAAGATTCTTTTTGTTTTTTATATTTTTTCCTTTCTCCTTGTACAAATAAATTTGTGTCTTTAGTATGTGAAGGGCAGATTTAAAAGTTTACTCAAATTGAAAATAGTCAGATAACTTCCGAAGCCGTGCAGTTTCACCTGAGATTGAATCTTACAACACCAGTGAAGGTCAGTTCATCATATAACATGTTAAATTTGATTGGAATTTGTGCAGACACGAGGTTGCTGGTGTGGTGACAGAAGTGGGAAGCAAGGTGAAAAAGTTCAAAGTTGGAGACAGAGTTGGTGTAGGGGGCATGGCTGGATCCTGTAAATCCTGTCAGAATTGTAGTGAAGATCTCGAGAATTATTGTCCCAAAATGATTTTCACATACAGTGGCAAGCATGTTGATGGCACCATAACATACGGAGGCTACTCTGACTCGATGGTTGTAGATGAACACTTCGTGGTTCGAATTCCAGATAACCTACCTCTTGATGCTGCTGCACCTCTCCTTTGTGCTGGAATCACAGTGTATAGCCCTTTGAAATATTATGGACTTGACAAGCCTGGACTTCATATTGCTGTGGTTGGTCTTGGTGGAATCGGTCACATGGCTGTCAAGTTTGCCAAAGCTCTTGGGCTTAAGGTTACAGTGATCAGTACATCTCCCAGTAAAGAGAGGGAAGCAATTGAACATATGGGAGCTGACTCATTTGTTGTTAGTCATAAACTAGATGAGATGATGGTAATTACCACTCACAATTTAGAAACCAAAATTAGCTTTTTTTTCTTCAAAATACAAGGGTTTCAAAATTTTTGGTGACATCTTCAAGAAATTACATGAAAATTGTTTTTTGTCACTAGTTACATGTTGTATAAAGTTGCTTCTTTATTGCAAGTAAAAGCATTCACCAACTTCTAATGTTCCTCACTAAATGTCTATGTAGGCTGTAATGGGAACCTTTGATGGAATCATTGACACAGTTTCTGCTAATCATTCTCTCGTGCCTTTGATTGGCCTGTTGAAGACTAATGGTAAACTAGTCATGATTGGTTCACCGGAGAAGCCTCTGGAGGTTCCAGCATTTGCCTTACTTACGGGTAATAAGCATGCATAAAAAATAATGCCATCAATTACACACTTCTTTCTTAGTATTGAGAAAAAAATGCAGAAAAATATCACTGCCCACGATGAATATAGAACTCTTCACATTTAAGTTAAAAGTATAGTAATAATAAACACTTTTTCTAACCTTGGATCTAGTCTGTATAAGAATGAAAATGTACTTAATTTTATTTTGAAACTCAGTATAACTGTACACAATTGGCAGGAAGGAAGCTGGTTGGTGGCAGTGCAATTGGAGGGATGAAAGAGACGCAAGAAATGATCGACTTTGCTGCGAAACATGATGTGAAACCTGATATCGAAGTTATTGAAATGGATTATGTGAACACTGCGATGGAACGCCTCCTCAAATCAGATGTGAAGTATCGATTTGTTATTGATATTGGAAACACGTTGAAGCCAAGTTCCTGAATGAAGAATTTGCTGGCATATGTTTCAGCCTTCAGAGACTGAACTTAGGGTAAGAAAAAGATTGAGCAATCTTTTTTCTTGCTGTTCTTAGACATTGTTGAGCCAATTAATAAAGTGGAATACATTTTAGATTGAAGAAAACGTGCTTCACTGGAATCATGTTACTGAATAATACTAAATGTAATTCACATTCTATGTATTTTTCTTTCAATAATTGGTTGGTATTCTGATGAACAATGAAAATAACATCGATAGTGTACTTGTGGCTGTTTAATTCTTTAATAATTTAGAAATGCATGAACGGAAAATATTAATATATATATATATATATATATATATATATATATATATATATATATTCAGTAATTTAAATCCATTGAACAACAATTCTAAATTATTATGTAGAAAAATATCTTATTTAATTTTTTTTATTTTTAATAGTCAGTTCATGTTAAATCTCATTGATAATGAAATTGAACATGAAAAAAAAGTATTCAAAATTCTAATTTTATTTTTATAGTCTTCATTATTTTCAAAAGTATGTTTCATTATGGGACTTTTATTTTATTTTTTTATGAAAGCTAATTTTAGATCATTCAAACAAATAAAAATATGAAAGATTGAATTTAAGTATAATTTAATGTATGAGATTTTCATTTAATTGTAATTTTATTTATTTTTAATTGATGAGAGATTTTCAACCTATTAAGAGATACCTATAAACTTGAGTGTAAGATTAATCATTAATAAATGATTTGATAACAAGGAAATAAATTTAACCAAGATTTATTAAGATAAATATTCTGTTAAGATAAATTTAAGATGACTTTTGTACTCTCTTAAAAAATAAATATTAAGTGTAACTAACTTTACAAAATTAATTTGTAAAATTAAAAATATACCTATTCAAATACTCTAAACTCTTCTTTTTTTAATGTGTGATAAATGGTGAATTGGCGGGTGCATAATGTAGAGAGAAGAGAAGGGGAATTGAAATTGGGAAGACGAAGTTATTATTAGTTTAACCTTTTCATTTTAGTTATTTGTTATGTTTTTTTTGTTATGATCAAGATTATATACATGAGCAGACGAAGATATAGATTAAGATATATAGGTGACATGATACTAGACCCAAGGTTAGTGTTTTGGAGTTAAGAGACAAGAACAATAGACATACCTATTTGGTGTATATTCTATGCAGTGATAGCCTCTCATTTTGAAGTGATATTCTAATGCTATTTTATTTTGAAAAAAAAATTAAACATTAAGGACTATAATTACATATTATATATATATATATATATATATTATGTGTTTTGCTATGATTAGCGATTTGCTTAATATAAATGATGTATTGACTCGATAGATAAATCTATTCTATTCGTGGAGTTGTTATATTTACGGTACCAGAGAATGGTATAATGGCCCGTAAGCACCTACCTCTATTTTTGAAATGGACCGCGATATTTCAACAACGATTTCTTAACACTTTTTTGACAACGCCACGTGTCTTATTTTCATTGGTTTGTTTAAAAAGAATATTTTATAAAAACCTTCGAAATGGAAGTTCGTAACCCTTCTTTTAATTGAAAATCCGAAAATATCCCTTTGTTTCATTGGAAAAGAAGGTCCCGTCTCGTGAAGGTCGCGTTTCGGGCCTCTTCGCTTTGCTTTCTATGTGATTGTTCTGTGTGCATGGTGTTGTCTCCCTCCATTTTCGTAAAGGTGGTGTTTTTCGTACAAGTTATAGTGCGGAATGGCAAGGTCCGGTGACCATTGTCCAACGACGAAGGTAAGTGGTTTTCCATTCCATTTCGTACCATGGTTTTTTGGTTTGGGTTAAGGTTTGGGGTTCGTATCATTTTGTTATGGTTATTGGGTTTAGTAATTTTGCTGATTTTATTTTGGTTAATGCAGTTGAAAGTTCGTCACTCTTTTTCGACAAAGTATATATGTACTTTGAACGAACGCTTGACAGACGAGCATCAGTCATTGATTGCGAAGACTCCATTTGTGTGGTTTTTAGATGTCAATGTGAATGTTAAACTAGGTAGAAATATATTGAGTGAGTTATTGGGTAAGTGGGACGACTCTAGTAGTGGTTTTTTAGTTGGGAATAAAGTTTTGAATATAAATGAAAATGATTTTCATTTAGGGTTGGGATTGAGTACAGATGGTGCAAATATTAACTTAAAGGAAGAAATGGGAAAT